CGGCCTCCCAAAGTGCTGGGATTACAGGCTTGAGCCACCGCGCCCGGCCTAATTTTTGTATTTTTAGTAGAGACAGGGTTTTGCCATGTTGACCAGGCTGGTCTCAAACTCCTGACCTCAAGTGATCTGCCTGCCTCTACCTCCCAAAGTGCTGGGATTACAGGCGTGAGCCACCATGCCTGGCCAAAGTTTTCAATTTTTATTTGTTAGAGATGGGGTCTCTAGGCTGGAGTACAGTGGCTACTCACAGATAGATCACAGTGCACTGCAGCCTCAAACTCCTGGCCTGATGTGATTCTCCTACCTCAGCCTCCCAAATAGCTGGGACTATCAGAATGCACCAATGGACCTAGCTTTGATATTTTTGATGATATTCTAAATGGCATTTTCATTTTGTTTTTAACCTTGTTAGTATATTGAAATATTTTTATCTTTGTTTATTGACTTTGCAACCAGCAATTTTGCTAATTTACTAATTATTTCCAACAGTTTATAAATGAAGCCAATCAAGTCATCTACACATAACGATTTCATCACTCCTTTTCCAATCTTATGCCTTTATTTTCCTTATCTTGCTGCATCAGCTGTATGTATTCCTTTACGTTCTTTTTGTTGTTGTTGTTCAACATTATTTACGTAATTCATTTTCACTGTTCATGTTGCTGTAGTTTGTTCCTATTCTTTACCAGTTAATATACCATTACTTAAAACCACTGGCCGGGCGTGATGGCTCACGCCTGTAATCCCAGTACTTTGGGAGGCCGACGCGGGTGGATCACCTGAGGTCGAGTTCAAACCAGTCTTACCAACATGGAGCAACCCCATCTCTATTAAAAATACAAAAAGTTAGCCAGGCATGGTGGTGCATGCCTGTAATCCCAGCTACTCAGGAGGCTGAGGCAGGAGGATCGCTTGAACCTGGGAGGTAGAGGTTGCAGTGAGCTGAGGCCACCCACGCCATTGCACTCCAGCCCGGGTGACAAGAATGAAACTCTGTCTCCAAACAAAACAAAACAAAAACAAACAAACACTAAAATTAATTGATTTCCATGTAACCTTTTCACTCAGTCCAAACTATATAAATAGTACATTAACACTTAGAACAAAAAGAACACATGGACAAACAATTCTACAGGGAATTTCTACAAGAAACTTCCCACATATTTTCAAGATTTTTTTTAACCTAGAATTTGATAAACTACAATAAAATATATGAATGAGAAATGTGTCAATATGGAACTATGTAAATAAATTACTGAGAAGTATATTTTGTCTATCCTTTGACTCATAAAAAAGAACTTGGAATCCAATTTTGAAATGCAAATATAAATATAACAGATCCAAGTGTATGTGTAAAAGAAGAAAATACATCAAAATGATAACAGTAAATAAAATAGGAGCAATATTTTCTTCTATAGGCTTTTCTGACTTTCCTAGAGCATCAATATGGAACAAGAGGCAGGGCACCGTGGCTCATACCTATAATCTCAGCACTTTGGGAGGCCGAGGCAAGCGGATCACATGAGGTCAGGAGTTCGAGACCAACCTGGCCAACATAGTGAAACCCCGTCTCTACTAAAAATACAAAAATTAACTGGGCATGGTTAATCAAGCTTGTAATCCCAGCTACTTGGGAGGTTGAGGAAGGAGAATTGCTTAAACCCGGGAGGCAGAGGTTGCAGTCAGCCAAGATCATGCCACTGCACTCCAGCCTAGGTGACAGAGGAAGACACCATCTCACAATAAAATAAAATAAAATAAAATAAAATATGGGACAAATGAGAATATGGGAGAGGCTGAGGAGAGGGGTAAGGAGGAGGGGAGCTAATGAACTGTACAAGCCTGCTGGTGGATGAACAGTGGGTCAGCTCTACAAGAAACACATATATCTCATTCATTCATTCACTCAGACAGCATCTCGCTGTTGCCCAGGCTGGAGTGCAGTGATGTGAGCAGGCCTCACTGCAGCCTTGACCTCCTGAGATCAAATGACCCTTCCATTTCAGTCTTCCAGGTAGCTGGGACTGCAGATGTGTGCCACCACATCCAGCTAATTTTTAACTTATTTTTGGTAGAGCTGGGGTCTCACTATGTTGCCCAGGCTGGACTCAAACTCCTGGCCTCAAGTTCCTCCCGCCTCAGCCTCCCATTGTGCTAGGATCACAGGCATGAGCCCACTGTACCTGGCCCACGTATATCTCATGATCAGTAACAGAAAAAGTTTTAGGCCAGGTGCGGTGGCCTAAAAAAAAGAAAGACTCCATCTCAAAAAAAAAAAAAAAAAGAAAGAAAAAGAAAAAGTTTTAGATTAAACAAATTTCACTGGATTTCTTTCCATTGGCATAATTTTTAAAAACAAAGTGGTTCTGGGCCGGACATGGTGGCTCAGGCCTGTAATCCCAGCACTTTGGGAGACTGAGGCGGATGCATCACGAGGTCAGGAGATAGAGACCCGCCTGGCTAACACTGTGAAACTCCTTCTCTACTAAAAATACAAAAATTAGCCGGGCATAGTGGCGGG